AAGAAAGAAAGAACTAATGAGAGAAGAAATAAAAGAAAAACAAGATGATTGAGAAAATTAATTAAAAAAGAAATACGAGAATCAAAATACGAAAAATACCACAAAACGAATGAATAATGTTTGGAAGTAAAATAAAATATAAATGTCGAAAATGTGAAAATGAATTAGAAGGAAACGAAAAACGAAACTAAAAAAAAAAGAGGAAGCTTGAAAAAGAAATGAAAGAATAAGGAAAAATATAACAAAGAGGAAAGAATTCAAAGAATAAAAAATAAAGTTAAATATTAAGAAAAGGAAACTTCATTTCGTGTTCCTGTTTCTGAGAAAAACAGTAAAAGACCCAAACCAATCTAAGAAAATTAAACATTCCAACGAACCAGAAAAACAAAGAAACAAAATATAATTTATATTTTCTCTCTTTTTTATATTATTTAGATTGAATATTTTATATGAATAAGTCAACATATGTTTGGGTCTAACATACTTCATTCATTTATATTCGTTTTTATCTTTTCGCCCCGCTTTTTTTTTTTTTGGAAATCACAATTCTTTCCTTTAAAACTTAAGACATATACATAGCCTTTCATCCATATTATTGGAGAGACTAAATCTTGGATCGGACAATATCGTTGCATAAGGAATCTACAACGATTCATTTATTTTACAGATGCTGCGAATAATTTGAATTAAAATCATATAAAATACATGCGATAATCATTTTTGTTTAATTCAACGTTGTCACATTTTTTTCTCTCCTTTTTTTTTTTTTTACAGTATTCCTTGCTTAGAAAAATCAGAATTCCAAACATTATTAGCCTGCCAAAATCGTAAAGAATCTTCTTATCAAATGTCTATGAAGACATATTTACCATAATTTGTTGAATTCCATTAAAAATAGAAATGAATATATATGGATTTTCTGGAAGTTTCAAAAAAATTATTAATGTTTTTTTTTCATTTTTTGTTTTTTAGAGGAGATATTTTTTAAAGTAATTCACCCCAAGCAAGGCGGGAGTGCCACTAGCACGCAAGAGGTTACAGAGGATTGAGAACAAGAGTAAAGAGACATGTTTGAGGAAATTATACAGAGAAGGACGGAAAACTAGCTTAAGGTGTCAGATGTCGATTGACATTACACTTGAATATTTGAAGATTATAGTCATCGGGAAAGCAAGTAAGGAAAAGGGAGTTCCACAGACGGGAAGTGCGAGAGAAGATGATGTTTGAGTAGAAGAGACGGTTACATTTAACCGCTTTCACAGTGAAAGGGTGGAACCGACATGCCAACCTAGTAGCTCGCTTAAATTCATGCAGTCTGGGAACCAAGGAAAGTAGCAGAACAGTTGCCGCGAAAATACATGTAGAAGAGACAGAGGAAATCCACATCACGTCTGTGGGATAGCGATTGTAGACTAGATGCCAGATCAAGGCCTATCATCTTGCATATTCGTCTCTGGATGTTGTCAACGACCTCGAGACGTACAGGGGGAGCACCAGACCATATATAAGAAAATGCGCCATGAAAGTGCAGGTCGTGGTCATAATAATTCGTGAAACTGGAACCGTAGCTAAAAATATTAGAATCCAGATTAGATGAATAAGAACTTATTTGAAAATCTCTGGTTTATGATTTTATATTAAAATTCTCCAAATACAGGACACGAGAGCCACTCAAATGTGAGTTCAATTTAATCATTTTAACATTGAACACTAAAATGGCTATGGTGAATGAGGTGCGATACAGGTGAACAAGATAGTGTCAGGGAGGGAAGATCATGAAGATAGATAGCGATTGATTCTTTACTTGAAGAGGATAAGCTAGTAGTTTTCAGTGAAACATCTTTGGAATACGGGAGAAATAAGGGTGATTCGACTCCACGTATGCTAGTTTTAGATGTTAGAAATTTTGGGTACCTTGGTACTAGTGAGCCAGCCAAAATGAGCTGACTCATTTTATAGTTCACCAATAGAAGGGTTAACCAATCAGAAAGCTCAAAATATTCAATGCGACGTGTATAAAGGCAGCCATGTTTTTTTCCGAATATTCACTGCCATCCTTTGATATCGAAGACTGAAGAATTACGAAACAGCTGCTGGTAGTATTGGCGATATAGTCAGATCTAGTACAGTGTCTGACTCGTGAGTATTAATCTTTAACGTTGTTTTATTGAACAGATTACGTACTGCGCTGTATTCTATATTCATAGACTTGGCGAACATGGTCAACAGAAGAAGTTTTAGATTTGATGCGTTTGTGGTACTTTCATATCGCTAGCAGTGATCAAAAGAACATTCTTGCAATCATAGACCTGATTCTGGACAGGATATGTACAAAAAAATCCACACCTTATAAGGACGGTATTCTCAGATCGAATGGCGTCCACAACACAGATCAAAGCAAATGTTTGTCCAGTATCTCTGCATCGGAAATCCTTTGCTTGCAGCAGGAAAATGGGAAAGCATATCTCTAGCTAGATTTTCACTTTTGTAAATACTAAAGTTCACCCAAGTAAAAACTCAAGAGCGACACAAGGGAGAACAAATAAAGTTGCAAATTCTTCTTTGGATTTTACCAAGGAGCTCTTGATAAATAGCAGGAGAAAAGAAGCATAAATGGCAGAAACATTCTAAGCATGGGCGAATGGTAGATTTATGTAGGATAGATTCTGTAGAGAAAAATTCTCACACGACACAGGAACCCAACTTTCTTATTAGCTAACCTAGAAATAGATTCAATATAGTCTTTCCACTTCATGTCAGTTGAGAACATTGGCGCAAGAGGGCGCAACGAGTCACTTTCCTGAAGGTTAGCATCAGCCATACTGGTGGAAGGCAGTGAGGAGCCTCTCAGATGATTTTTTTTTTTTATTTTCTGATTAAGAAAGTTTGAGATTTTGATACTTTGTCACACCTTCATACGCTTCCTTAATCTTAGCCCCTGGTTAAGTGAGTTTCTTTTTTAAATATTGCAACATTTAATATTTTTAAAGAGTTATTCTAACTCACCTATAATAGACTCTCTTCTTGACTCGGGAAAAACTCAGACGCCAAGTGTTCTATTGAAAAAAGAAAAGCTGAGATGTCTATCAAAACTTGTATTTACTAAATATAACATATACTGGGTTCGATGAGTAAATTGGCGCCATTTTCTATTTTTAATTGCGCATGTGCATTGTTTGTTTTTTATTCTGTCGACTGCACAGTATAGTAGAGTCAGTTGGGCACCGTCTCTGAAAAAAAGGAGCCCCAGGACGCAATTCACTCCGCCAAAAATTTGGAAACGGAATGCGGTTCTACTTAGAATTTGCACCGGAATCTCCCAAACGAACATTTCAGAGTTTTTTCCTGTCAATCTGAAGTCAGTGCAAAAGACGTGGATGTGTCTAATGGCGATTACGAACGTACGGCA